TTTCCCCCCAGGCCTGTCCGGGAACCCCACAGACCTGGAGAAGCGGCGCCAGGTGTTCGGGCAGAACTTCATCCCCCCCAAGAAGGCCAAGACGTTCCTGCAGCTGGTGTGGGAGGCGCTGCAGGACGTGACCCTAATCATCCTGGAGATCGCCGCCATCATCTCCCTGGGGCTGTCCTTCTACCACCCCCCGGGCGGGGACAACGAGAGTGAGTCCCTTGGGGCGGGGGGCTTGTGGGAACGGCCCTATTCCCTGTGGGAGTGGGGTTTGGGATGGGGGCGGTCACCCCAAGAGATGCCCTATTCCCATTGGGAGTGGGGTTTGGGATGGGGGCGGTCACCCCAAGAGATGCCCTATTCCCATTGGGAGCAGGATTTGGGATGGTGCAGGGTTATCCAATGGGATTTTCCCCACTTGGGGCAGTGTGTGGGGTTATCCCGTAGGGATTTCTCTCCCCTGAGCAGTGTGTGGGGTTATCCCATTGGGATTTTCTCACTCGGGGCAGTGTGTGGGGCTGTGTGTGGGGTTATCCCAGAGGGTTATCCAATGGGGTCTTCTCCACTGGGGCACTGTGTAGGGTTATCCGGTGGGGTTATCCCATGGGGATTTTGGGGCAATGTGTGGGGTTATCTAATGGCAGTGTGTGGGGGTTATCCAGTGGGGTTTTGGGGCAGTGTGTGGGGTTATCCAGTGGGGTTATCCAGTGGGGATTTTCCCCACCCCAGGCAGTGGGTAGGGTTACCTAACAGCGTTTCCCCCACCCTGCGCAGTGTGTGGGGTTATCCCATTGGGACATTCCCCACTCGGGGCAGTGTGTAGGGTTATCCAGTGGGGTTTTCTCTGCCCCGGGCAATGTGTGGGGTTATCCAGTGGGGTTATCACATGGGGTTATCCAGTGCAGCTTTGGGGCAGTGTGTAGGGTTATCCAGTGGGGTTTTGGGGCAGTGTGTAGGGTTACCTAATGGCGTTCCCCCACCCCGTTCAGTGTGTAGGGTTATCCAGTGGGGTTTTGGGGCAGTGTGTAGTGTGTGGGGTTATCCCATTGGGATTTTCCCCACTCAGGGCAGTGTGTAGGCTTATCCAGTGGGGTTTTGGGGCAGTGTGTAGTGTGTGGGGTTATCCCATTGGGACTTTGCCCACTCAGGGCAGTGTGTAGGGTTATCCGGTGGGGTTTTGGGGCAGTGTGTAGTGTGTAGGGTTATCCCATTGGGATTTTCCCCACTCGGGGCAGTGTGTAGGGTTATCCAGTGGGGTTTTGGTGCAGTGTGTAGTGTGTAGGGTTATTCCATTGGGATTTTCCCCACTCAGGGCAGTGTGTAGGGTTATCCAATGGGGTTTTGGGCCAGTGTGTAGTGTGTAGGGTTATTCCATTGGGATTTTCCCCACGCGGGGCAGTGTGTAGGGTTATGCAATGGGGTTTTGGGCCCGTGTGTAGGGTTACCTAATGGCGTTTCCCCCACCCCCGGCAGTGTGTAGGGTTATCCAGTG